CGTATCTTGAGAGTAATGGTTGTGATCAGACTTGGGAATCTTGCTCCTGTGCCCATCATTCAACTAAAACTCTTCTTGTGGAAGTTCCAGTGGCTATTTGGTGGTAAAGGGCACTTTCTGCTTGCCCATCCTCATCTTTTCTGCTCGCCCATCCTCATCTTTTCTGCTCCTCCTACAGTATTCAACACTATTTGACACTGTTAGCTCGATGCCCTTCATGGAACCTTTTTCTCATTGCATCATCCCACTTTGGCTTTATTCCCTGGCTTTTCTGATTTTTCCTTCTCGGTCTCTCTTACCTCCCTTTCGAGTGTTTCCTTTACCTTTATATTTAGAAGTCAGTGTTCCTTAAATTCAAATCTCAGTGTCTTTGTGGTCGGTATCTCTCCCTAGTCGTTTGCTGTTTGTTTAAAGTATATTTGTTGAGGACCTACTATGTGCCGGGGACTGTTCTAGGAGCTGGTAGTACAGCAGAGGACAGAGAGACAAAAATTTCTGCCCTTAAGGAGCTTATATTTCTAGGGGAGGGGAGACAAATGGGTGAGTGAATAGCTAGATCGGTGTTGGATTGTGGTTAGGGCCATAATGAACAGGCAACCCGGGTTAAGAGACTGAGCCTGTCAGGGCTACTCTTTTAGGCAAGAGAGTCAGGGAGGGTCCCCTGGGAAGGTACGTTTGAGCAGAGCTGGACGTCTTGTATTTCCCAGGGCTACCTCTACGCCAAAGGCTCCCAGATCCTCGTCTCTGGGTCAGCCCCTCTCCATTGGAGCTATGTTCCCGGTTGCCTCCTAGACAGCTCCCGCAGGGCGTCCTGGGACCCCTGAAACCGCACACGCTCAGCTCTCGTACCAAACGTCGTCCTCCTCTTTGGTTTCCCCATTGGTTCACAGCCTGACGAGCCCTCACTCACGCAGGCTAGAGGCTCCCCACCGCCCTTACGCCCTTCTTTTCCACTCCATGCGCAGGTATCCAGTCACACGTCATCCGGCTCCTCCCTTCGTCCTCAGCCCTCGTTCAGACTCTTCCCTTCTCTCGCTTGTACTCTGTAAGGAGACTTCGAATGAGTTTGCCAGCCTCCAGGATTAGTGGGGTGTTCCCAACCTACTGGCTCAGCCATCTCCCTTCACTTCCCTCCCCCATCCAACCCCACTCCTGCCACGCACACCGTATGCTCTGGCCCCTCTGTCAAGAAAATCATCCCCCCAACGCTTTGACAAGACCCTTTTTCCTTTTGTATGCTTTTCACTTTTTCCGGGAATTACCTTTCCCTTCCGTCCCCTCCCATCCCCTGCCCTTACTGTTTCGCTCGCCTACCCGGCAGGTTTCTAACCACGCTGAGGTAGCCAACTCTGTTCTGGGAAGCTTCTCCCAAATCCTGTTCCGCTTCCCCTCCTCTCATTTGTTGGGATACCATAGTGCTCGTACCAGATTCGATTCCCCTGGTTTAGAAGGGTTCTCTGTGTCCCATTAACCCACGGGTTACCTGGTTGAACCATTGAAAACTACTGTTCTTCTTATCAGCATTCTTGTATGGTTCAATCTAATATATCCAGTTTGTGTCAGTATTTGTTACTCCTGTTTTGGCTTTCAGAAGTATTCGTACCTTCAACCAGAGTGCCTTAAAGCGTGGGCTCAAAGAATAATTTTCAGCTCTGGGAGACATTTCCCATCCTATTTATTCTACATAGTCAATTTTTCTGGTCAAAAATGGATGCAGACCTTAGAAATCTTGTCAATGTATACTCTGTTTTCTTTCTGGCTGTTGACAGTTTTTCTGTCATGTTTTTTTCTGATTCACATCATTTGTCATAAACACCAGTGAGGTTTTTGAGGCTGCTTAGACAGTGATACAATGGTGGCTTGTAGAACTGCGATACTCATTGTCTAATGAAAAGAAAACGATAAAGTTGTGAATAAGGCAAAAGTGATGAAGAGTCTATTTATAGTTTTTCAAGGTGAAAAGGAGATCAGAGTGTCAACTGGAGAATTTGTGAATATTCTGTCCAGTGGTTGTGATTTCCATGACTCATAGAACTAGAGTTGCCCTTAAATTTAGAATGTCTTTCCTATTCTGCCTGCCCACTTCCACCAACATTGTAAAACGCTATTCTTAATTAATAGCCCCCCCAAATTATTCTATTCTGCCAGTTCTATAATTGAATGATTTTGCTTTTGCTTGAATGATTACACTTTTTACATCCTTTCTTTCTTTTTTTTTTTTTTGCAGTACGCAGCCCTCTCACTGTTGTAGCCTCTCCCGTTGTGGAGCACAGGCTCCGGACACGCAGGCCCAGTGGCCATGGCTCACGGGCCCAGCTGCTCCGCGGCATGTGGGATCTTCCCGGACCGGGGCACGAACCCGTGTCCCCTGCATCGGCAGGCGGACTCCCAACCACTGTGCCACCGGGGAAGCCCTTGATTACACTTTTTAAATAAAACCCGATAACGTAGCTAATCATAATTGTTCCCTTTTGTGTTGAACTGAATTTTGTTTTGGTATTAATTCTCACTTGAACTGCTGAGGGAGAACAATCCTGTCACAAAACAGTTGGCATCTTCCTGTCTGAATGTATCTAAGCTGTCTTTGCAAAAATGTTTGAAGACCATCCTGTTTGGACATATCATCAGGTTTTCCTTTGCAGGTTAGTTACATCATATCTGCATCTCTTTTTGCAAGTTTCAAATCATAGGCTGCGCTGCTTCTCAATCCCCTCGCCGTGAGACAGTAAAGTTGGCTGGGGCCATATTTTAAGGGGATAGTTGATTGTGGGCGTGGTCGCCTAGGATGATGCTTAAAGTGGAAAATGAGATGTAAAATGAAAAGAAAATATTGGAACAGGCTAAACTGGTTTTCAGAATCTTTTC